CGAAATAAATTTTTTCAAAACTTAAATTAATAATCTGGTATGTGAATTGATCTCCGATAAATTGATGAGCGATTAGGGATAATAGTGGATAGTCTAAACCGACAAGAATTGAACTTATGTTTAAAGAAGTGTTTAGTCAGTACGAGTCAAAAGCTTCACAGTTCTAAGATAATAACAATTTCAGTATACCATCAGCCCACAGACAGAAACAAGTGATTATATTGAATCATCGGAACCCAATCCTGTGACAAAAATTTTAAGTCCATACGGTGAAAGCCAAAAGTTCTGGATTTGTTCTCCTCTCGAGTTTTATATGTACAATAATTTTATAGCAGAACGAAATAGCTGTTCAGTGTTTCTTGGCTAGTATGAATTTTTTTTGAAGTCATCCTATGGAAAAGACGTCACTTAGTATAGTTTAACAATAACTTATGAGAGAAAAAAAGTCAATAACAAAAGTAACAACAACCGTAACTTACTTTCTGGTATAGTCTCTAATTCATTGTGTGATGCATCGAATATTTCTAAATCTTGTAATTTACCTATACCTGAAGGTATACCACCGAATGTCAATTGATTATTATTCACATATAATTTACGTAAACATGCTAAACGAATTAATCCAGTTGGTAGATGAGTTAATTGATTATAACTGAGATTAAGATATTCCAATCTAGGCCAGTCACCAGTTAAAGTAGATAAATCTGATAATTCATTATGCGCTAAATGTAGTTTACGAAGATTTCTAAGCTAGTAATATTTCAATGAATTCATTTATGATGATTATTATCGGTATTTTTGTTGTTGTTGTTGTTGTTTTTGTCGTGGTAATTTTCATGGTTGACAATGTTGTCAAATGTAACAAAGAATAAGAGGAGAATTAGAAAAAAATCTACATAAACATATAATGTTATGAATAGGCAGATGAACAGAAATCACAAAGACAAATCTATATATTAGTCGGTCTCTATTATTAATGTTTTTATCTTTATTCGGATGTAAGAAAGACATCATATACCACATGATAGACTAAACAAACAATTTTGAAAAAGAAGAATGACTCATATTATCCTTGATAATACAAAAAAAGGCATTCACAAGTGTAAACATGTAAATGAAAGTGCATTTCTTTTTTATCTGCCTAGTTAATCAGCATTATTTGTATACACAATATACATAACAGCGACCTGATCTTTTGAATGAAGAAATCAACATTTACTTTTTCAACAATAAGCAGAAAACAATATAACGTCACCTATAGTTAATGATAAGAATTAGAAACCGATCTTACATAGGATCAATGAATAATAATTAAATAATTTTCAGTAAATAACATTTTATACTGTATTGAGAATTATTAAGTATTTCATTGTTTCTAATGATATATATTTAAGTATTTAGATGAATTCTCGGTTCATTACTTTCGTCACATATTATTTATAGTCAACGAAATAGATTTAAGCCGAGAAAAATAAGATTTTCAATTTATTTCCAATTGTATATTTCTTTTCTCTCTATCTATAATAAATCAATTATATGCTAATAGTTTTCAACTTAAGGACATAAATAAATTTGCACTAATTAATTAACTACTCTTTTTTTTCTTGGTGTGATTACTAAATAAATAATGATAAAATTTCACTTTTACACGTTTTTTTTTAAAAAAAACTTAATTAAACTTAATGTACTCATAGTAAATTCAAACAATAATGATTTTCAAATAAACTGGTTAGGAAAAAAAAGTAGGTAACTTTTCAATGTTCAGTATATATTTAAGTAAAAAAATGTTCTGAGTACTTTCAAGGTGACTGTCGAAATATAATTATAATTTCTTTTTTTTTCTACTCAGAAATTTATCAACATAAAAATTCCAAATAAAAAAAATCACATACCGATAAAACTGGTTCAGGAATTTTTATTAAAAAATTACACGACAAATCCAATTCAATAAGACGTTCTAATTTATCTAATTCATTTGGTATATTGTCTACTCTTCGTTCAGTACCGGATAAATTTAAAATCTACAGAGAGAGAGAAGAAGAAAAACAACAGAGAAATATATAAAAATATATCAGCGATTTAGACTTTTTTTTCGATAGTGAAAATTTTAAAAGGATTGTATGTATGATTACATTTATTTAACTATTAATACTTTTCGATCAGGAAATTTATCATTTTGAATATAATAAGGTCATTGTTCAAACAAGGCTGATCTATAAAATCTGAATTCCTATTGAAATAGACTATAATTACAAAACACTGAAACTCTTCGCTATGCTACAGAACTGGTTTAATTCTGTAAATAAAAAATCAACTCATTGTACTACAGGTCTGATATCTAACAGTGTTAGCCTTGATATAACACCTAAGGAATTCAAATTCGAACACAAAAAGAGTAGATTTCGTACAGTGACTGAATTATAAATGAAAACAAAACGAAACACCAATTTCGATCCATGACTTCGTTGTAAGAAATGATTTTATAAAGGTGTTTCTAGTGACTTTTTAAGAGCTCTATATGACTGTGCATATCAAAATTATATTTTTTAAATAGTTCATTTCAAAAATTTTCATTTTCGATCGAAAGTAACAATAAGTCTTAATTCATATCCATGCGTCTCTTAATATACATATGACATAAGAAACACTGAATGCTTTTTTTTATAGAATAATAAACTCATTGAAAACAAGACAAGACCGAAATTTGAAAATTGTACAAAAAACCGAAGTGAGATTTCATGATGACTATGGTATTTATAAACTATTTGATTGTATGCGCGTTGCTGAGAAGCCTGGAGATGATCACTTTTTTTAACCGATAATTCTTGAAAGTTCGTTCAAGCAACACTAGAAAAAACCTTTTTGATATAATAATTGAACAGTTAGCCATTTTGTTACCGATATTCGCATGTCCTAGAAGCCTCAAGAATATTAAAGTGATAGAGACCTCTACAGATGATCTTGTGCTATGAACATGAAATAATCTCATGAATAAAACTTCTCTTAATTCCCGATGTTTACCTTCCAATCAAGGCTCATCAGATATTTTCAAGAAACCGAGTAGCAGTGAAAAGTTGTTATGAAGCATTCAAGTGCCTGATACATTAAACTCGAACAATAATCGATTTCAAATTGAAAGTTTATTTTACATTTTTGAGATAGTTTTACCAGAGTTTCTAATTTAATTGAAAAAATGAATATTTACCTCAAGTTGTTTCAATGCTGTCACTGATCTTAGTTGAGCATGACGTAATGGATTATTACACAGGATTAATTGTTGTAATGAAGAACAACGACGTAATTGTGCTGGTAAATTCTCTAATTTATTATTACCCAGATCTAAAAACATTAATTCTGTACATTGAACAAATAAATCCGGTGAAATCAATGAGATTTGATTATTGCTTAAATTTAAAGCTAATAAACCCTTAGCCTTTTCAATTCCATTAGGTAATTGTGTCAATTGATTACAACTAAAATCAACAACCTACAAAAAAAGAACATAACATGGAACATGGAAAGAATAGCATTAGAAAGGTGATATTGTAAAACAATAAAATAAAAGCAGTCATAATAATAACTGATAATAATAATAATTTAAATGAAATTCCATTTAATCTATTCAGCACAAATTAATGTCAGCTAGACAACTACAGTAAGCCTAAGAGCACGGACAAAATCCCAATTTGCGATTCACCAGAGATGCATATCATAACTCTGAGATATTCAATGAAAGTGTAGTAGCTTTACACCAATTTAATAAGAACATAATGGCCCATATATATTCAGACTGAACCAAAACTTGTAATATTTTCCAAACAGCTGGAAAATGAGTGAATGTCGATTCACAGGAAGAAGGTTCTATCTCATACAAAAGGGTTGTGCAATGATTTCGAACATGCTTTTATTAATCGTTTAGAGGATATTCGTCTGAGAAGAAGATTACTTCTGAATTAAATCATTTCTAACAATATCATATTTTATTGACTTTATTTAAACACGATTGTTTTTCCTTTTGTCTCAGATGCTAAACAAATGATATCAATATTCTCACACATCTGAGAAATACATATTACGAGAAAAAACAAGATATTATGTTTAAAAAGAATTCCAGGCAGTGTCATTTGAGAACAAAACTCTTTCACAAAAATCTTTTTTATTCTTGTTTAAAATTGTTCGTAAGACAAAACTCTTTCCTGATGAAACAAAAGCAACCTAAGACAATTCCTAATGAAAATCATTTCATTCGTTTCTAAAATATTTTATCACAAGTAATATATATATATATATATATATATATATATATATATATATATATATTGAGACATGCTGACCTTAGTTACACAAGCAAATTATCATTCTAAGTAGAGACTGAGTAAAGAGAAAATGTATACTTTTGTGATCTAAAGGAAGTGAATGCATTTACGGCAATGCAAACAATTCTGAATCATGTTATCCAAAGCTTCTAAACAGTAGTTACGGTAATCACGTATCAGGCATTCATTGTAAAAGATATTTAATCACATGATAAAATCAATTAGGCAAATGAATATCTACACACTTACTTGAAGATTATTGCATTCAAACAAATCAGCAGGAATAGCATCTCGACTTGTCAATTCATTTTTTCGACATGTAATCATTCGTAGACTAGGTAAAACATTTGGCCAACCTTTGATAGAACATAATGAAGTTAGTTCATTTCGAGCCAAAGATAAACTTTCCAATTGTTCTAAATGTGTTATTTCTTTTGGTAGGAATTTCTCTTTCAAACCAACGTTTTTTAATTTTAACCACTGTAGACGGCACATATCTTGAAGTATTTCCGTGGTAGGCCAAATTGAAGGGAGAGGAAGGGATGAATTATCATTTTCAGTATTGTTGTGAGCACGTCGAGCAACTCTCTGTTTATCTAGAAAATCTTTATGTTGTTCAAAATTGATTCCGGATAGATCTAGACCTCTCAAGTATTGAACAACAGCCATGATGAGAACAGGAAATTATTTTGAGGAAGTGATTTTCTTTGCCTGAAGATTTTGACGAATACGTATAACTCTATCCTAAAATGAAACGGAAACTATGCATTCTAAGTAAGTAATTGAATACAAATTGAAAGGTAACAACATGATAACTTTATTGTTCAGTGAACGTAAATGATTTTTCATAGAAAACACTTGAAGAAAATATACCAATGTTTTTGTCATTCGATGCATAAAAAAACCAAGTTGCAACTCATCAACCACGTAAATTACTTGAAGGCTTATTCAGTCAATGTTTCAAGGTTAAAGCCCTTTGTTGTACAAGTAGTATGAGGAGCAAAAAAGTAAAATACCGAGACAAGTGATTGTAAACTTTTCGATGTACTTATTCAAGGAAAGTCACTATTACATAACAAACAAACCCTATTTAATTTTATACAACTCAAAAAGAAATAAGCGATAGCCAGAGTTGGATAATGTTTGATGAAAAAAATATTATTGATAGGCTGAGTAAAACGTGAGTACACAATATATAAAAAAGAATGTCTGAAAACTACTTCAGTACGCTGCTACTATCTACGCAATATTAGTAAGTATAGACTAGTTATATTCTTGATAAAGGCATGATAAACTGACAATCTTGAGTAACCTATCAGACAATCAGTAAACATTACCTAGTTATAAAACAATCAGCTGCTAAAAGCAATAAGAAACTAGTGGAATAACAGTATTGGTCTGAATAATCAACCCTCACATGTCGAATTATTCCTCGTACTAAAAGAAAAAAATTAAACTGATATATTGAAGTTAGGCTAGTGTTATGAGTTGGGCTTATCAACCTACAGAGCTTTCATCATCAGCTGAGATGAGAAACAATACAAAAGGATTAGGGATAGGTATAAAAGATAAGCTGGAGTTCTAAGTCTTGTTTTCTCAAGTTACGGTTAAGGTTTTCATCACGAACTGACATCAGCCATGATACAATGCTTTGTCATTATACTGTTTACACACTTAAAAGGCTTAACATTGATATTTGGAGTAAGAGATAGAGACTTGCTTACACACAACTGTAACCCCTGATGAAAAATGGGCCGCCGAACTCAGCACGGTTATCGGACAAACCAAGAGTGGTAAGCACCAGATAACAAACAAGCTGAAGTACTGAAATCAAATAAAGAAGTAACCTTAAAGATGTTCCACGCTCGACCCAGCAAGACTGGGTGGAAAAACAAGCACCCGTTCTACAGTTCTACTGTATGGGGCAGAAACTTAGAGAACTACAAAAACTATTATTCTATAGATACTGGTGTTTATTAACAGTTTCCTAGACAAGATACAACGGATCCGTTGGCTTGGCATCATTAGCAAAAACCTACTGTGGGACAGCAAACCAGGAGAAATTAGGAAAGAGAGCTGGAAGTGGATAGGACACATTGCAGAAGGTACCCAACTGAATCAGGAGGAAAGCCCTAATAAGGGATTCTCAAGGCCAAAGGAAAAGAAGTAGACCACATAACACACAGTGTTGAGAATGGGAAATAGACATGAAAGAATGAATAGCAATTGAGTAGAACTAGAAAAGAGAGCCCAGGACAGAGTTGGTTGGAAAATGCTGGTCGGCAGCCTATTCTTCATGAGGGGTACACAGGCGTACGTAAGTAAATAGTTACCCACAGGAATACATTAAATTGAATATCTAAGCGTTACAACACTAACGTAGCTTATCACAATATAAATAAACAAAAAGGAGAATTCTCAATAAAGAAGACAATATTCTTTCTGCAGTCAACTAATAAAAAATATAGAAATACCCAATGTACACGGTTAACCACACCCAGTGACTGCGAAAGTCAAGTAAATAACAAGATCTTTAAAAACTAAAAGAAAAGTTATTATTTATATGAAAGACTAACTGTATTCGGACAAGAAGTCTAGTTCCAATGAGGGTTTCCTAAACAGTGAGCATTCATATCATTGGAGACCGAACTCAAAACATTCAGATCACATATCGAGAGCAGTACATATATACACCTGTGAGATAGAATTCAATGGTTTATGTGCCTATATTTTTAAAATAAACTGCATCATTTTCTGCATATACTACATTTAAAATATAATTTGACCGTCTTTTGAAATTACATTTAAAGCATGTCATAATAGAAGTCAAAATAGTTGTGTTAATTAGTTATCGTTAATTGGTTACTAATCACAAAAAATGAAGAAACAGATATGACTATAGTATAAACGATCAGTATGTAACGGCAGAAAAATTGTTTTTCTCATAGATATAAGACTGAAATCGATGGTGAGACATAGTTTGACAATGGAATGTCATTATCGTGTACATATGTGTTCATATGTATGTGTGCATGTATGTAAGAGCATCACTAAGATTGTGATTACGATTATAGTAAACATGAGCCTGAAATGTAGTCAGATTTAAATATTTGTAAAAGATCACGTTTATAAGGTTAAGAAAACATATTGCAATCAAAAAATAGGTCAATTTACAGATAAAGCGTATATGTTTATATCAATAATCTAAAACGATTATTATACTAGTAAACTAACCTGTGAAATACGTAAAGAATTATGTACTTTTAATATTCGTTGTTTATATTCTTGTAGTACCAACACAAATGGTTCTAGATTCAAAGGACTATCTTGAGCTTTAGCTAATCGACCAAGTGCTTTATTCCAAGAGGATACGAAAAAAAAATACGTCATTGGAGTATTTTGTAATTAAGTATTATTAATAATGTCGAAACAGAACAGTGAATTCTTATCAAGCATAAAACATTTTAATGAAAATCTCGACAGGTAATTTAGATAAAGTTAAGCAGTCACATTCCTCTTCCTACTTTGAATTATTTACACATGTATTAAAAAGCATCTAATTACCGAATTAGACAATACCAAAAAGGAATATCAGTTAATTAGAGTAGGTATGATAAGTGTAAAGCTAATTTGCTCAAAAAGAAAACTACTACTAAATTTTAGTTCAGTGGTACAGAAACTAATATAACGAACTGCTTAAAAAAATCCATTACCGTAGAAAGTCAATAGTCAGTTAATGCCTTTTGATTTCAGATAACAATGAACAATAAATACCAAAACTTACGAAAAAAAATAAACAAGTGTAATCAATGAAATCGTTAGAAATATTTATCTTAAGAAATTAGAAAACTACACACTGACGATCGATATAGTTAGCCGACAGTAACCAATTGACCTTTTAAACACTTACGCATACTTATAATCCATCATTATAAAACAGATAGAAAGCATTAATTTGAAGACAGCTATGAATAGGTTTGGTTTACTTTTAAGTATTAAATCAAGAGATGCCCTGAATTATTTAGGGAATGACAGAACGAATGTTTATGCAACTAAAACAGAAAGGAATAGAAACTAAATTCATTTATTATTAACGATGTGCAATGAAAAAGTAAATTGATTCGTGTCCATTATATGAAAAGATATTTACCAATATTTAGTTAATGAATTAAAACAATAACAGATTAACAACTTTTTCACAAGTATCCAATCAAAATAATATATTCCGTTTATTCAAATTATGTACCCTAATTTTCTGCCTTTCGTTTTTCACTTTTTTTTGTTGTTGATAAACCTAAACATACTTAAATAGATGGGCGAGAATTCTTATTTATGTTCTAAATATATTATTATAAAATTAAAATATTATTAAATTATCAACTAAAAAAGAATTAGAGCAAAATCCATTATATTTGATATTAGTCAAATAGAGGTTATTTTTCAACTATAACAAATCAACTAGTTTGTTTGAAAAAGAACCACACTCAGTGCATCAGGATTATAATGAGAAGTGACTGAGTAGTTGCAAAACATCACTTTCTATCAATGGATTACAAGTCAGAACCATTTGCATTGTCAATCCGTATCACTAATCTCTTCTCATACAGACATACACGTTTCTGTTAAAGAAGCTGTAGTATCAGGTGATAAATTGTATTGACGCTTAAATCGGATTAAGAATATTATGAATTGTGATGATATTGTACTAATGCGCTAGACTAACCTTGATCTAACGCAATCAATTGATCTTGTAATTGTTTTTGTGACGATTGTAAGTCAGAAAATGCTAACTGAAATTTATCAACAGTATCCTTTAATACAGAATAAATCTCAATAGAAAATTGTTTAGCATTCAACAGTTGACAATTATCATCAGAGTCAGTTTGATTTTTTATCTCGTTATCAGCATCCTGTTCACCATTCTCTTCCGAAGTAGCAGAACTGAGCGAAACAGTAGTAACTAGATGAGATTGATCAGATTCGGAAATGCTTGAACCGGGATTTGATCCTAAATTCTAAAATGATGTAAAAAACAATTTAATTACTCTGTTCTTATTTAAAAATGATTTTCATCAGATCCATAATCACCTAATTATCCAGTGCATAATGAATCAGTCAGCTACAACGTAGAAATTCGTACGAATGTACCACATCAGCATACAGAGACAACATTTTTGATTCAAATCCCATAGTAGTAGAGGGAGTAAAAGTATTAGTAGTAATCAAAAAGGTTAGAGATCGACAATACCACTCAACAAGCTTATCCCAGAGAAATCAATTTTTAAAAAAAGAAAAATACGGTCATGAGGAGATCCGGAGGTTAGAATTTGAGAGAACACAAATAATGGATGTACCTACGCCATTACAAACGATTTCGAGCAATGTCATTCAAGGTCTCTAACTATTGGTTACTACCATCTCGCGAACCCTAACCAAGTAGTCTACACTCATCAATATGGCTCAGTTCACTTGTCAATGACTTCATGGATTTGTGCCATGTTTTGGTCGGGCCATCACTAATTTTCACCTAACCTATCCTTACATCAGACATCATTGCTCGTAGAGGTAGTCGGTGGTTGGGCGTATTCAGTGCATAATCGGTAAAATTTAGTACGTTAAAATGATAATAAGACTGCTATCACATAACGTAGGATTATTTTAAGATGATATAGCATAGTAAATTTTTTTATTGTAATATCTCTACGGAAGATTCAGACATTTTAACAAACACAATGATTATGTAATCTATAATAGAATCCATGTTGCTTTATGCTAGCTAAATGTTGTAGCGTAAATAGCAAAATAAATTTAGAGCATCCTGATGAATAAAAAAGTGAGTGTTTGACGTTTCGTCATTCGGCGTAAGTTACTTCTTCAGAAAATGAACATTCTGATACTCTACTTAAAACTATCAAACCAAACACTGTTCATGATATTAACTTTTTAATAAAGTATTAGAGCGTTCCTTTGTAATGTGTTTTAAATAAATACTGAGAATTGTTAAGTCTAAATAGTTTTCTGACCAGAATGGCAACTTTCTATCATGGTTTGGATAAGGAAAGGAAGACGTAGATTATATTCTTTGACTTATCATTAGAGCAGGAGTGATATTTTCATCTATGGATGATGTTTAAAAACCTTTCAGTACAATCCATATTTTCTATAGGATGGAAGCTTATCAAAGATTTTATTTGATATATATCAGTAATCAACTGATAGATTTCTGTGTTAACTTTTGTGGAATCTTTCAAGCGTAGGTTGGAAATATTATTGTGCTGTTCGAAATATAGAATGTATTAAATGAAAATTGGGTATTGAACCGAGTATCTATATATTTAGGATTTTTGGATTTACATTTGAAATAGATTTTATGTGTGATAATATACATAGGACTAGAGTGAAGCAGGTAAATAAGTTTAGATCTGTAGCCTAGACTTTAATCTGCCCAATAATTTTAATTGAATGATTCAATGAACACTAAAAACTTTCGGTTAATAATGAATCTTTTCAATAATAAGTGACTGATGAATAGAAATTATGATTAAGTACAATTTACATAAAATTTCCCTTTGACAGTTTTTTTATTAAAATATAACAATTAATAAACTATAAGAGAGTATTGTGGATGATTGTGATACTTGAAAACTATTTCAATGACAGGTGTAAATAATTATTGGATTGAAGTAAAAACTTTATTATCAAACAAACACATACACTTCATCAGGAATTATATCATTGAGTAAAAAGGGTTGGTATAATATTATCAAAATATATTATTCTAGAAATAAATAAATATATATATATATATAATATATGATTTCAATAATTATGGTATAAAGAATATGAAAAACAACACTGATTTTCTCTTCTCTTTAATCTGAAAAATAAACCGAAGTAAATAGTTTTTACAAGTCAAATTGAATAAACGAAAATCAAGTGTTTACAGTTAAAACAAAACTACTGTTAGAAGAATTCAGTGGATAAAAGATTAAAACACTGAAAAAGATTGTTGGAACGTTATCTGAAGAGAAAAACAGTTGACATAAAAGATTGAATAATAAAAATCGACGAAATTAAAAGAGATTACAATAAAAACAAAAAAAAATGCACAATAGATGATGGAGGAAAACAAAACCATTTTTCTACACAAGAAAATTGATATTGATTATGGAATTGTGTTAAATTAGAGAGAGAGAGAGACCTGAACAACAGCAATGTATGTACATTTAATCCTGTTTATCACAGTCGAATGAATTATTCCCATCATGACTTAGAAGCGAACGAATAATCAACTAACCAGTTGATCAGATCATATTCTTCTTTTTATGATAAACAGTAAGCTAATGCAGAAAATGTATTTTAGCGAAACAAAATGTAGATCAAGTAGAAAATACCGAATAATCACGTCGTTCATTCATTATCATACATTTCTACCATAAAATTCAACGAAATATGTACAATTTGATTAATTCAAAATAATCACTGAAAGAAAACAAACCTATAGTAAGTAGTATAGTATACGATGATGTTTTAACACACAAACAAAATACACCAGTCTGAGAACATTTCTCGCTTAAATCAACACATCATAGAAGTCAAAATAAAATTATATCTGTTAACCAGAAAAGAGTAACAAGTTTTGTTTTGATTTTTTTGAATTAATTACAGATCAGCATTTTATCTTATTATCAATTGAACTCACTTTACAAAAATGAATGTTAGTTGAGAGAGAAAAAACACTATGAGAAATTATAATGAAATAATTAGGTAGATTAAGGGAAATTGATGATGAAAAATGAACATTATTAAGGAAACGAAGAAATAATTTTTGAAAAAGTGAAACTTTTCTTCGAAAGGAAAAAAAATGAGGGAACATTTACAATTCAATAGAAAAATAATAATAATAATACAATTGGAATGTTTAGAAAAAAATACACTTGTAACCTATACCTACATAAACATGCATAAAATAAAGAAGAAACAACAAACAATAAATAATGATGAAATGATGTCCAATGATTATGAAATTAATTGACAGAATATAGTACGAATGAATGAATGGAATGGAATGGGATGAAATTATGTGTGCAATAAAATTGAAAATAAATAAAACCAATCCGAACACATGGATGAAAGAAGAGGAAACCAGAATGGAAACGAGCACATATTTTAAAAGATATTAATGGTAATTAGTTAGTTAAGTGAATTTACACAAAAGAAACAGTAATTACAATATTTAAAAAAAAGAGAATAATAATAATAATAATAGTTGTAATCATAAAAATAATCAAATATCTAACTGTACATGTACACACCTTCATACACTTACAAATAGTTGAAATAGAAGAAGATAACATCAATGAATGGAAAGAAAGAAAATGAAAATGATGATTTGCACACTTGAAGAGATTAATACATATTATCGATTAGATGTTATTGTATTGTTGGGATTCTGATCAACTGTAGACGGTAATGATACAACGGATCCTTTCTTTGTTTGATTTCTGATAACAAGAGGAAGCAGAATAACAGATGCATAAATATGAAATTATAGATTTCGGTAGAAGAAAATTTAACAATTTAAAAAATAGATTAATATGCTTAGTGTTGTGATGAAATCTATTATCCATTAATCAGTCATAAGCAATGTAAAATTCAGCATATATATGCATCAGTCAAAGTTCCTACGCTAAATCAACAAACTGAGAGAAAATTGCGAAGACAAACGATAGAACAGTAAAAGTAGTGGATAAAATCGGTGGTACTTATAAAGATTAAGGCTAGACAACACGATTCAAGAAGAATGAATTATTTAAAAGAATAAAATGTATGACATAAATTTGAAGAGTAAGATCAAAGAAAAACTCAAAAATGAATGCATCTACACTATTGTAACCGATTCTAAATCAACATTCCCAAACACTAAGCTTACAGAATTTACAAAGAAGGACTCTTCTAGTGAAAACTATCGAATATTTTGTCGGGTAAACCGTTCAACAGAACTTCACATTATTAGCTCCCTATGACAATGATAAAAATTATTATTATTTTTATTATTTTATAATCAAAGATACAATATGTTCACTCAGTCAAATGGCAAATCGATTTAAGTCCTCCAAGTCTTTATGAAGTTGAGAAAGCTATAGGACATCTGTAGCGAGGGCGAGCGGTGAGCCCTGATACACTTAACCCTGGAATTTTTCAGAATGGTTGTCCTGTTTTAACAGTTAGATTGACTGAAATCTTAAGTAGAATCTGGGCACTGGACGTAATCCCATCCAACTGGTCTCAGTCGCTGATTATCTCAAATTACAAGAAAGGACAAAAGTCCTCTTGACACAATCACAGAGGAATAAGTCTAACTAATATAGTTTCTAAATTGTTAGCCTCCATTATACTTAGACGCCTAACCATAGCTCGTGAAGAGCAGAATAAAAGAAACCAGGATGGTTTCAGACCTGGACGTGGTTGTATAGACCACATTTTTACACTACGACAAGTCCTGAAACACAGACACACATTTAGGCGTCCGACAATAGTTGTCTTCCTGGACCTAAAAGCGGCACTTGACTCTGTGGGTGGTGAGATTCTGTGGCAATGTCTGTCACTAAGAGGTACGCAGACCTTAAACAAGCTCTCTACTCGAACACCTTTGGTCGAGTGAGAGCTTATGGCGAACTGTCATCGGAATTCTTTACTTCAAGTGGTATTCGTCAGGGATGTCCACTCTCCTCATTATTGTTTAATTTTGTCGTAGACATCCTTTTAGGGTTAACATTATGATCGTGTGACTTTTCAGGAGTGAACCTTCTACCGCGAGATTTGTTTTGTGGTGTAGGAGTAGGTTGGAAGAAAGCCAGGGGCGGCCAAACCAAAACATGGCACAAATCCATGAAGTCACTGACAAGTGGACTGAGTCATGTTGGTAGATGTAGGTAGATGGTTGGTGTTCACGAGATGAGAGACACCAATAGTTAGAGACCTTGAATGACATGGCTCAGAACCGTTTGCAATGGCGCATGTGCATCCACTCTTTGTGTTCTCTGAAATTCTAATCTTCAGAATTCCCCATCATCTCTATCTTCCTCCTTCTAAAGTTATCTCACTGAACTAAACTCCTTGAATAATATCTTCGATCCATAATATTCTACTTTACAGCTTATTCTTCTACTATCGCTATCACTCTTGGATTTGATCTGACAGTTGCATCTGCGTGCTGAGGTGGTATGGCAACCTGAACTTATGTACTTACGTAAAAAGTTCTACGTCGTAACTGACTAACTGACTTCAGTCAAATGTATAAATTCAGCGAAGTGTAGAATCAAAGTCTAACCTATTAATTTTATTTAATCTGCATAGAGTTGGATCAACAGTATTATTCAATGATGTTCAGGGTAGCAAAGTTTCTCTCCAGGTAACAGATCCATACCACCTTTACCTACATCCATCAGAGCTGTTTCCAGAAGCCACCGGTGGCAAAATTGAAGAGGAATGATGAGGTTGGATAATCCTGTCTAATCCAACTGCTTAAATGAAACAATGGAGAGAGGTGGTTGTTAAATAATAGGAATATCGCGATACTTCATGGTGAAAGATAATTTAAATATTTTCAGCAGTTACCATTCCTACTAACACTACTAATATTAAAAGAAAATTAATCATTTAATTGTGCATGGTTAGGATTTATATGCATACTACTACAGCTACAGATACTAATCAAGTGTCTAAGCCAAAATACATCTCTAGTATGATTCATGGTTACAACCAACTGTTTTATTTGACAATTGAAACTACTTAACCACAACTTCATTTTAATCATTTGAATTTTAGTATTACTCAGTTAACAAGTACTAGTTTATGTATTCGAGTTTGAGCTATGTGAATTATCTAACTACTGATTATACCAGCAAATCTTTCAAACCGCAGCAGAGTGACGTTCAAGTAAGCAACCTACTGGTTGAACAGTAGTCTACAAGTCTATCAACAGTAATCATATCTGATAATTTAGATATAGGAAAAACCAATTGACCCTTACAGAAATATGAACGGATAATTCAGTGGAAAAAAACATGTATTAGGAGCTTTTAATTCTTAAGTAGATAACCATTCATAAGGAAGATAAGTAGAAGTGGACTAATTACATCATCAGTATTGATAATGAACAAATAAAGACTTGAATAATATTTTTCTTGCAAACAATGTCATACATAACCCACACTAGGTATATCAGCAAAATTTAAATTTCAAAGAGAGACTTACTTATGAGACGGCGTTTTGCTACTAACCGGTAAACTTTTACTACGATCGGGTATATCTAAGCTGAAACGAGCTTGTTCAGAAGATAATATTTTAGCACTCTGCATATCATTATTACTGAGAACTTTATAACGATCACGAAGTAATTGCATCATTAATAATTCATTTATAGCTTTAACCCATGTATCTCTGATGGAAGAATCAGATGATTGGAAAATATAAGTAACTGCACGTTTAGCAGTCCATATAGCGAACCGCCGACGATCCCCATGAAAATGAGGAGTTAATCCAATTTTCGAAAGCTAAACAAAAAGGATATAAAGCAAATACATACACTCTAACTTGAAAAATAGATGTTATTATAAGAAGTCTGATAGCTGAAATAATTATTAAACGAAGTGTCGTATGAGGTTGATCATATAAATCAATAATTAGCTCTTCAGTTACGCTTACTCAAAACTATGAATAAACATGTTCGCTAAGATGAACAGAAAACAAAAACATAAAAGCCAGTGATCACAGGTTTGGGTATAACGTTGATTTATTACACTTAATTATGTGATTAACCGAAAACTGAGAAAAGTAAACAAGGTTTAAGACTTTTAACTTAATGGTTGAAGGATTAATCCGTAAACTAATGAACAACAGACGTACTTCTACAAAATGTAAACCACACTAATGATTTATAGTTACCACATAAGTAGAAAGTCTACATTTGTTCGAAACAAGCGTTTCTAGACAACAGAAAAAAAATGTACAGAAAAGTGACTTGAATTTCATGGTTGAATACTAGATGATAAATATGTCAACCTTTTGGTTGACTTCTATAAATGCTAAGTGCCAGTAACTTATTTAACCTAGAATAAGTAATGTGGTTATACAACAAAAAGTCTTACTTCAAGGCTAGAGTTTGGAAATATCTGTGAAAACATTATGAACGATAATAAAATTAGTAAAGAACATCAGGAACAGTGAAATAGGAAAAGCTTGTTTGAAATTTACTGAAGATACTGGTCAGTATTTAAGTGATTTCTTAAATGTTACAACAGGAATTTTTTTAAAAAAATTATGAATAATATCTAGTCAAAAGAATAAGAATAAAAGCAATTTATTGATTATTACTGCGCAAACATACCTCTAATTCTTGTTTAATTTCATAATAAGGACCAGCAGCACAAGTTGGGATGTTAGATGAAATAAGATTATTACTATTATTTCCACTGTTAGACGCAAGTGATTTAGTGAATGCCAATAAATTGGATGTTGTACCTGATACATTATTTGATTGATTGTATGCTGAATTATTATTTGTGAATTTATCAAATGTATCAATAGAATGATCTCGTGATAGATTTGAAATAGCAGAATTTATCACTGTACTTGGATTAATCAGAACAGGTATAAATGAATTCGGTGCAGTACGATACTTAGTGAGTAATATAGCATTGGTAAATAAGAAAACATGTCGTTGTTTATTGGACATAAATCGTACATCATCACGAGATATAGTGAAATCTCCTTGCAATAGAAATGTGCCCAATTCAGATGGACGAACCTTTATGCAAACAACATTTTGTGAAAAGAGTTCACGTAAAACATTATACTAGTTACATAGAGTTAAGAAATTTGAATCAATTTGTAGATTTTTTAAAACAATACATTAAAAAATTAAGCTGTAATATGTAAGTGATACTTGAACAGTAATTATACAAATACCAAAATATAGATTATATATTTATGCATCTACCAATCAGCTTATTAACATCTGAAATCTATCTAAAATTATGTGTGATCACGCATTTTTCTTTTTTGATTAGTATAGAGAATAAATAGAAAAGCATTACTATTGAATAAATAATTATGACTAATGGCATCTCAGATATGACAGTACAGTGCACAATGGAGGTGGTATTAAGTTAAATTTAAATATTAAGCAATGAGATTTTTATTAGAGTGAGATAAAATATGCAATGTGTTCACAATTTATTAAAAATGAAAACAACCATCAAGATCTAAACCTATTTAAACTTTGATTAGAACCTGATAATAACGATTATAATGCCAACTATTTGTGACTACAACTTGATAAATATCTGATAGAAGATACTACTGATTTTTGTGGTGTTGTATTCTCTTAGATAAATAAACTAATAATAATGTAGCGAATGTCGCCTTAAACAACATCAACAAGTACTTCAAATGGAACTGAGTTTTTTTTAGATCAATAAACAAGCACAATTTAATACTTTATTTTAATAGCCTTGATTACTTTTAGACAGTTCGTCATTTTTGTATTTATCGTTTAACTGACAATTAGTATTTGTAACGCTTACAACTCTTCAATTTCTGATAAGAATTTTACTCATTGTCGTTATTCCTACTACATATCAATACGGTTTTTTTAATATACTCTGAAAAACAAATTATATCAAAATTTACCGACAAACCACGAAGTTGCATAGTGATATTCACAGTTTCACATAATTCCAAAATAGTTTTATGAGCAGTCTGCAGATCACAGCTAAATAATTAAGAAGAAAAAATAATACAACGAATATGAATACTTTGAAAACAAAATAGATATAAAGTAAACTAATTAGTCAGTACTCAAATAAATCTTAGTTACAAAAAAAATTCTTCGTCTGATTGTAAACAATACGAAGGTGATTAGTAAAATAGGACATGGTACGATAGTGTTCTTTGTTTAAATATTCAGTATTTGGAGTTGATTTGTAAGGTTAAATTGACCCAAATTTCATGATAGTCGGCACTCACTGTCAGGGTGTATCAACACATTTGAGGGAATTCCCTAGCTGACGTAGTGTTGAGTTCGTTGCATTAATCACAGGGATAGACAGTAATATATCTAAATAGTAAGTATTTAGGGAAACCAATAAAATCTGTTTACACTAAACATATACATTTTACCTGCTGAAAGCGAGCTGAAATCTAAAAAATGTTTTATTTAAGACCGTAAAACCTACCGAATTTGTTAGCTTTAATTTCAAAGGATCACATTTTTTCACTAAGATCAACTAGATATGCGGCACAACTTACTATACTGCACTGTGATTCGCTTTACTTCATAAACAATAATTTGAACATCAGCTTTAAGTTATTCAGTAGTATAATAATGACAGTAATAAATTGTTACGAATTCATGAAGGTAAAGAGATGCTGACGAAAAAAAGCAAATAAGTAAAAAGAACTGTGCTAATGGGACACATTGTTGACTAAGCTTGCAAATTATTAATCTACCTATGATGAGCATAATAAAATAACTTTCATAAACCCATCGACTACATTTTATACAAAATCTTCAAACATATCTCTAACGGGAGATAGAGGGAAAGAATATAAACACTACCATGTTAATAAGCTAAAGTAATTCAATAATACCATACATGTTTGTATTCTAAGCTTTGAGCGACATTGACCACATGGACTAGGAGTTAAACAACATGCTTACACCACTACTGAAGATGAGATGATGTTTAAACAACTGTACATATAAAATTGAGTAAATTAATTAAACACGCCAGACTTTTTCGAACTAATGAATCATAAAATTTAAAACATTGGGATGGGGTCATGAAATACCCCTGTCACCTAAAAAATAGGTCTTATAACTTACAGACAAAACCAGAAGTAACAATCTATGATTTGGAAAACCCCAGTACTGCCTCATATTATAACATGAGAAAAAACAATTCCTCGTTTTAAATAGCTCAATATAACTAACAAGTGTTTTGCTAATTATTTTTCAAACAAAAAGAAACAACATAAGGAAAGAATTACCGGTCACATTCATTAATTTCATGTTGAACAAGCCTATCCAATAGTAAATGATATCGTTGAAAACGTTGTATAGGAGTCACAAGACGAGAACTAAACAGCAGTATAGGACGGCTTGATTCAGCTAATGATATAGTAGGAGACTCAGGATTATTCATTTTTGCTATTGACATTTCTCTCCGATATATCTCTTCATTGCATGCAGTTAGCCAGTTAGAATAAATACGATCTTTTTCAAGAGCAACAGCTAATTGAACTGAATATTCATGAAGCGAACAATAAATTGTATATAAGTCTACCAAATGTGGGACCTATAAATGAAAGCCAATAACAATAAATATTTTGTCGGTTTCCATTCTAAATCATTACATGCATAAGAGAAACACAGTAGTGAACTGGGATATATTCAACAGATTTTAATAAAGTGATAAGGTTTAAACTTTCTTCATGAATTTCAGCTGCCCAATTGTACAAGCATTCGGATTTTTCTTTGTATATTGTCATTCAATATTAAACACCACAAATATGAGTTGTACAGAAAGAATTATGAGTAAAGCTGTACTGAATTGACTTTCAATATTTAAAGGTTCCATATAAAAATATGACACGCATTAATTAATAGTTAGACAGAAATTAAGTGCAATCGATTCAAATACTGAAATATTATCTCTATGCCCGATAATGCAAGAGAAAGGTAAAGGCTATAATGTAAATATAAAAGTAAATTTACTCAGTGATTTGGAATTTTACATAAACTTACAAACTATTAAATATACTAAAGTGAATAGTAAACAAATGCATTTTTTGCAACAATATATCATCCAGTTTAGTTTATGACAAAACTTACATAACGAGATTAGCATGATTTAACTGAGAAAGAGAGTACTGATGATCAAGGCTAGCCAATGGATAATAAGTAAGAATAATAAAAATATGCGATTCATATAGGAGAGATTATAAATGCTTAATAAAAATCTATCTAGAAGAAACTACACTATTAGAAATCTACTTCAAGATTCAAATTGTAGAGATATTACAAATGATGATGTGAAATTCAACATTTCACTTACAGTTTAACTTTTTTAAATTATGTAGAACTAGATTCTTCATCTCAAACAGATTCAATGAATCTATTATTGATAAAAATAGTATAGTGTGTATTATTATTGGACGACAACTTTATTAATCCAATTTGAGGTGTAGTATAAGGATAATGGCGATGACAATGATCGAAACAGTTCGACAAAACACATCAGTATTTTAGCATTCGAAATAGATCAAAAGTTAGAAATATAATCTTTAAAATTGACATAGTGATAAAGGACAAAATATACATGAATGAATGAATGAAGTACAAATACACAAAGACATGGAAGAGATAAAAAAAAAAAGTGAGCTTAAGGAAGGTATTGACGAATGCATGCCTAAGCAACAAGAAGGATAAGGATATTTCGAACCTCTTCTGAATACAAAGACTAGGACACTTGGAGTGAGTTGCTAAATTTTCTGTCAAATATTGGATACGAATTGAAAAACCATTGAGCAAGTATGATATGATTTAAGCTATATTAGCTTATAAAAAAAATGTTAATAATACCACCCGACTGTCTAAACTGAAGAAAGCGGAAGATAGTGCAAACTTGTGACACATGAATTAAAATTCTAGTGTCTGGACGATTAAGCTACCGTACAATCAAAGTAGAGACAGAGGGGGTTAGCACACAAAAATTAGAGTAGATTATGATTAGTAAAATGAACTGTCTAACAAACTATATACTAATGGATGTTAATGAATAAAACAAAAATGGAATGTTTTCATCCCTTGTAAGATAAGCAATAAATTGAAATCTTTGTTAAGAACTAATACAAACATACCATAAGAGCTACCCAATTTTTGAGTTTTCCAGCATTTCCGTCGCATAACATTAAATGCGGTAGTAATGTGCTACATAAAAGTTGAAACAAAAAAACAAAGATAAAGGTGTTCATTCAATTATAAACAAGGAACGATAAAAAAAGACCAACTACTAACTCTCATTGTTTTAAAACTGATGTCATATTAGTAAGGAGATATGAACTACACTTGTCCTGTTATCGTATTGCTAGTTATACGTTCCGTTCGCTGGTACTAAGTTGTATGTTAGTAATCGCAGCCATAGAAATTACAAGTAGTAAAATGTAAAGGAAAAGCATATGAATGTATTTAATAAGTGAAACGTTCGGTTACATATCAAAATATACTTAGATTGTAACAGTTAAGTCAGTAAATCATTAACAATGTAGAGCCCAAGTAGTCATACCACACTAGCGAAATGAGACAGAAACAAAGATCAAAATAATGTGGTAGCAATAATAATGAGAAGAAATAAACAGAGTAGAAAGAAACGAAAGAAGGAATACTGGAAGTGAACATCGTGAGGAAGTTAAACAGTTAGTGCACCTGCACCACTGTAAACGATTTCGAGCTACGTTATGTAACATTTCTAATCATTGGTTGTAGCTACCACGCAGATCCGAACCAATTAGTCTGAATCTACACGCTCCTTGGTTGACAGATGGACATCTTGTCCGCAACACAATTGACGCAAGTTGGTGGAGGCCAGCAAAACTTTCTGAGTCTGTGCCAAGGTCGTCCCCAACATCGATCGACTAAGTATAGTGGTAAAATGAGGAATAGTTATCATGGATAATACAAAATCTCTCTTTGCTGAAAACTGTGCAAACAGTTGGTTTTTATTACAGATGATAGGCAAAAACTGACAACGGATAGATGAATACATGATAAAAAAAACAAAGGTTTCTTTAAATAATAACAAAAACAGAAATAATTCTTACTCTTTATGAAAACGTAATAATTCAGGCCAATTACATAGAAGACGATTTGGATTATCACGCATAAATGCCGGCGGTGAACATGATCGGATCCCCGACTCATTATAATCAATACTATCAACAGAATTTAACCATACCACCTACAAAATAAATAAACAGAAAATGTAAAGGATTCAAATTTATTTATCTGTTTAACTAGAAATTAAAGTTAATTAAAACTAGTTAAAGCATTTCCAACAAACACCAATTTCCCGAAAAAAATTAACTAAATATAATTTGTTAAGAAGAAATTTGGGTGGAAGTTTAAATAACTCCATAGACTTGCTTACAAATGTCCGATAGGTGTAAATATACAGGTACTTTTTTTATTTTCTATCAGTCAAACAGATCAGTAAATGGTATGATTCGTTGATAATTAATACTATTATTTAAGCTAAACTGTAAATTTTGGTGCTAGTGATGCTTTTTAACAAGTACAACGAATAAGCTGAGGTACTGTTCGAAACTGTGACCTATTACTTAAAAGCTACATGCGTCAACTATAAATTCATCATTATTTTAACTATCTTAACTACTTATTACAATAAAAAGAAAATTACAATCTTCTGATAAGTATTCACATATAGACAACAATAGCATTACGAACAACAATAACGAGAGAGTTAATCTATGGAATAGGTAAAAAGTACTGAAAAATAACTTATCAACACTTTTATCATTGTATGTTGATGTAGATATATTAAGGGAATTAAATAAATATCGATCATTTTATTGACGAACGGCTGGTTTCTCGCACATCAGTTCCATATATGCAAGGTATATTATACTTACCTCGTACATGTACATAAACACATGCACACTTAAAAACAGTTATGCAAGAAATGTTATTTTTTCTAAAATTCAATGGGTGCAATTATTGAACATTGACAACTGTAGACTAAGTTTTTTACAAAACGAAAAGGCAAACCGATCTTAGTTTTTGTTGGATTCCATCCATTGATTAAAATCATTGAAACGATATTTTAAACAAAAAGCTGATTACATAATTATCGATGAATGCTTGCGGTTTGAAATCAACTCACTGCGCACCCCTCACACACCTGACAATAATGATTTCATGCATTTTTAAGTTAAGCTACAACAAACACACTGTGAAGGTCAACTAGCAAGGACGAAAACTGATCAACTATTTTACCTAACACAATTAGAATGTAGATAAAGATATCAAGCAAATATATATATATATATATATATATATATATATATATATAAACCATGTCACGCTGAATCTGGACAATAGATAACCGATACACATGTATAACGTAATCTTTCGGACTGAATGCAACGTTGGAACAAGACAATCAATGAACGACTTGAAAAATTCTTTGCTTATCCATCTGAATAGCAAACGATAAAGTACACAGAGCAGAGATATAAGGTGAATTACGTAAGGTTAACTTGTATGTTATTGTTTATTTGAAAATAAAGATAAAAAATGGATTATATTCGGATGATAGTGTGTGTATGTGTGTAAGCAAAAAAGTGAAGGATGGACGAAAATCGATTGATTGTGATTGAAAAGTACAAAGGGTTTTACAAGAATAAAAATAAGACCACTAGAAACGTTTATAATGAAAACAAAATCCAAATGAAGAACGCTGAATTTTGTGCACCAACATATAAATTAATATTGAACCCATCTACGAAGAAACAAGTTTCCATGTCATTGTCCCAGCTTCGAGTCACGCTGCTTGAAGAATGCGGATACTGACAAACTCTTCGCAGCAGTATTGGAGTCTGTGACCTGCTGATGAGAAACCAAGTTCTCCAACCACTAATTTAGTGTTGAGTAAGCTTTTGAAAATGAACGAACTATAATTCATTGAACAAGGTATTCGAATACAAGTGGATTTAGATAACGGCTTCTACATGATGAATGCAGCATAAAGATATTATCATACGAAAATCAATCAAATAACTTTATGAAGATATAAAGGAAGAGGAAGGTAAAAAATGAAAATAAATAGAATAAAGTAGACACATAATCCTACATTTAAAGAATGTTCCCTATAATTTTCCACTTGAGTAAATATGCTTCAAAAACCATAACATGATCAAACTTTACTCAGGTTCCGAGTCAAGTTACTCTTATCAAATATTCAGAAACTGTCTCAGTATCGAAGAATACAATTTTCTAATTCTCAAATAAATATGCTTTCAAGCCAAGATGAACAAAAAAGAAGTTACAATTGGTAAAATTTTATTTCAAAATACTTGATTATTTTAAAAACAAGAAAATTTTAAATTTGTCTACTATAATTGCAAAATAGAGAAGTGAACTATTTAATTTTACCAGAAAATCAATGGATTCATAATAAATTTTTAAAACAAACAAAATACAGAGTATCTCATAAGAAAAATGTTAACATTCACTATTCCTACATAATGCAAGCTAATTAATAAGTTTTTTTTGAATAGTTTATCAAGCTAATAATTTAGAAAGCTATTTATAGACTCGTATTTCTCATATTGTTGATCTGTTAATTAGAATAGTGAGACTAGAACTGGTTACAGTCGGCAGACTACGAAAATATTATTCAAATCTTATTGTTAACAAGTTTTTCCATTAATTCTATAAAGATTAGAGTGAACGTTCACTATTTATTTGACAATCACCTCTATAGGCTTTTTTCTTGAGGCCAGTGTGAAGTAAATGTACTGTGCATAAAAAGTTAAGGTTAGTAGTCAGTTGGTTCAAGAATTACAAGTAAGAAACAGTAGGCGAATAATTTTATCATTTATTAATAGCTTGATAGCACAATATATAAATATATTCAACTTACATCATAGACATGTTGTAAAAAATTTATATAGGATTTTTCTGTATCTACCAGTTCTTTCCATACTAACTGATATCGTTTACCTGGAGTTGATAATGAAGTTGAAGATTCTAATCGTGACAACTGATACGATGAAGGTAATTCTGAGCCTTGAAAGGAATTGGTGACTTTATTGTTATTTCTGCTGCTAAGACCCTAAATGTAACAAAATTAAGTAAATTTAATTAATGTAGCGAAAAAGATTATATTGTAAAATATATCATCATAAACGGTTACAAATAGGTAAAACTTTCATTCACAGTCAGTGTGGATACGGTAGGTCAGTTCACTTGGTCTGTTACAAAACATTCATAACGTTCAAAAGATGGTCATAATTTGACAGAAATGACATAAATACTGTAAAAAATACTCCCACTGAATAGTTATCTCAAAGAGTTGGCTTAGTCATTAAAACACACGGTTTCTGAAGATTGCGATGCGTAGTTCCCACAATCCTCCTCCTACATAAAGTGATATCATTAGCTGTTACATAAAATGTGTAACTTAGTCTTGAATGTAAATATGATGTAAAACTTACTTAGTGGCTTGCTTAGCCAATTATTAACATCTACAGAAATGCTACTGTTTTACAAAATCATTCAAGGATAATACAACAAGTCAAGAAATTTATCAATTGAAAGTATCTACTACGTTGAGTAATCAATATAAGCGTGATTTTTAAAAATATTATTGGACTAACTTGTCATTCATTCGTAAATAAAAAAGTTTAACAACATTTCCTTAGTCTACAGTCAATAAGATAGTAACTAAAACACATAGTGTTAGAAATAGAAACCTACTTCTGAAGATGATGATGATTTAATAGATCCTTGAATGGGTGAATTTGTCCCATGACTAGTTAAAGTACTACTACTGGTATTTGAATTATTACTATTATTCAAAGATTGAGAGTTCGGATGATTTCGTGGGAAACTTGTTCGTGATATGTGCTGACGAACTGAAGCAATAGCAAGATTACAATTTTGCGCTACATCTTCTACTTGTTTTAATAATTTACTTAATTGACTCTGTAGATTAAAAACAAAAACAAAAAATCAATGTTCAAAAGAATAACAAACAAAAACACACGAGTTAAACAATCATAATTCAGGAAATCTTCAACTATGGACTCGGTGTATCACAACGACATATAAAATTAGATTCACACTGATGATTAGAAATAACATTAAGCACTATTCACAGATCGATAAGTGTATACGATATAGTCTAACTGGGGAACAAATTATTGTTGAAACAGTTTTACTGGTAATGTTTGACATTGTGGTAGAAAAGAATAATCAGTGAATATGTGAGTTGGTGACTAAGGAATCCGGATTACAACCATTTGCTAGTAGATTCAAGTCCCATTCCACAAACTTACATTAGGACAACCGGGCAATATCATTACACTTCACAGAAAAGCGCGGTTCAAAACCGAGTTAAAATAATTGTGATCAGCAAATGAATTACAGCCATAGTAACAATACAGTTAAGATGTTAAGGATAAAGAATAAAAAGTAGTATGATTATTAATTTTGAGCCAGAATCCATCGTCTTCAACTACTGATTTTCGAAAACTCAAGGGCTTAGGCTTTAAACCGCATAAAATGTTCAATCATTGGAAATATTGCCTGACCACTTAGACTGAAGTAAGTAAAGTACGGTTTGCTTCGGTGCTAAAAGTTAATATCACAAAATCAAAACCGTATAATGTTGTTGTGCCAAAAATATGAATCTTCAAGTAATAAGTGATATTATAGAAAAAAATCTTTCGAACACCATGGTGGCAACTTTCCTTACAATTATTTATCATTTAAAACTACAATCAATTTAATTTAAAGAACAAATACAATAGTAAAAGAGGTAACAATCATAATTATTGAATAAAACCCACCTTCAAATCAGCGTCTAATAAACCAACTAATCGTGAATGAAAAAGTTTAGGATTCCGAAGCAACTCTAGCCTACTCTGACGTGAGGAAGTAAATGTAGTCAACTCATCCATACGTGACCGACATTCCACTAAATCCATTGTGGTAAGCTTATCTGGTGGTGTTACTGTCTTTAATAAACGATGGCCTTCTTTAATCCAGGAAGCAGCCTGAAAGGAATAAAAACTGAAGTAAATGTTTGAAGAATCAAACAAACAGGAAGAAATGTCAAAACACTATCAAACCAAACAAAGTAGCTAAAGTAAATCCTGAGAGAAAGAGTTTAATTATAACCATATGTCGTCCACAAAGAATCTAAATATATGAAAATTATTCAAAATTCAAGAGATTTTCGTTCCCTTTAATATAAATCACATCCATTTCTGTCATTAGAAAGTGTGGTATATATATATATATATATATATATATATATATATATTAGTTATAGAACGAATATTTTGGAGGCAATTGAGAAAACTGAGTAAGAATACAAACCTCATGAAAGAACAACATTCCAAATATAATAAGTGATATCACTCACATTATCGATTTCTGTGTAGAGTTGTAACAAACGATTAATTTGATCAGCTGCTTTCGGTAAATCTAAACTAGCTAAATCAATCATATTTTTAAATAGCACAGGCCATTCTTTTACATTTGAAGGAAACTTTATAGGAAGAAAATATTGTTGCATGGATTGATCGGCTTTTTGATCAGAACTATGATTAATTTCATGAGGTGCAACAAGATTAGATGATTCATCTTCTCCAGAACATAGAGATAAGCAACTGGTGTTTAAGTTAACACCACTTTGTTGACTGCTTCCATTTACTTTTATTGACAAATCTGGGCAAATAATATTTGAGACTAAGTTTGCACTGATAAATCGGTTTACGTCACAGAGAAACGAGGCTGAAAAAATATTAAGAAATATATCTAATGATGTTTTATTTAAAAGTAAAACGCTTTCACTCAACTTAATTAACAATAGATGAATACAGGAAACAACAATCTATTAAATAGATTTGTTTAATATGAGAGAGAGATCGTTAGAAGGGGCACTGCAATTGCAAAAAAATTGTGAGAACTATTATTTAGCATGATAATCAGAGTTTTGCTATCAAAACGACTGGTTGAGTCGAACAAAATGTATCTTAGCTAATATATCGTCGCCATTTCCAAATAAAATATATAACAAGCATAACGACAGCTGTGAAATCATTACAAAACGAACTTCGTTTCTTTAGGGACTGAAATACGATTTGTATGGGCTGAATATATGTCATAATATCCCAAAGTTCAACAGTTTCATAAGAATATTTAAAATGAACAACGGATCTATAGGTTAGATGGAACTGAACCTGACGGTAGTTTGTTACAGAAACTATGAAACTTTGAATATGCTAAGCTCATGAAAACCAAAAGGATGAATGTAAGCTCAGAATGGACAAGATAATACTATAATTTATTCAAAAAATTAAATTCCTCTAAACAGAAATAAAGAAGACGATGTTACACCACGGATCGAGCAGCCAGTAAAAACAGAAGCATACTAACTATACTACCGTGTTCAAATAAGTTGGAAATAACTTATTAGAAGACTGAACAGAAACATTTATCTAACAAAATCCAACACTGTCAGAAGAACCTACTACAAAAACAGGACCGGTTTAAATTGCCATACGTTCTAAAAGAAAGAGTATCAATGAATTAAAAGACATTCGGAAACGAATAGAACGAAAAGTGGTGGATAAACTGTAAACATGATTTTTAAGCTTTCTCTCTTATTACAACCCAGCTATTCTTAATGCTTAGTATTCTCGGGTACCAATACACTCCAGACGTTCTCCCAAATCAGAACACGGTTGAACAGGAAAGAGATTATATTCCAATAACAAGGTTAGATGGAAGTCAGAAGGTCCAAAGGAAAAAGATTGGATTAAAGCATGGTTGCGTTGCTGCACGCTGTTTGGCTCTTTCGTATCCAATCAGCGCCAGTCGATACTGAGGGAACATTCTAGAATCTTCTCATGTAAGAAAACTATGAATATACTAGCGTCTATGTTCCACCAACACGACGAGAACACAAATAATGAATCCATTTTGTTGCAGTAGATCTAATCCCTAATAGTTTTTAAAGACTCCATAACGTTGTTGCATTTCGGTCGATTCAGTACTTACCATTTGAAAAAAGACTACAGAAACAAGTATGGAACATTAACTTAATGATTCAATCATTTGACTACTGACCATTAAGTTTTCCCCCGATTTCACACATAGAAAGTGCACCTCAAGAAATACCTCAGTACATAAAATCCAACGAATATATTTATACATATCATGCAACAACAATAGCAACAAACACTTTTACATGAAGCATTACCTTGATAACTATCTTTACCATTAGAATTGCTCAGTAACAATTCCTGCTTCTCTTCCACATTATCAATTATAAATAAAACAAAATTGCTTGCAATCTGTTCTAACTCTTTTAATCTTGTTAATAACCGGTTACCAGTGGTTTCTGCTTCCATTATACGACAAGATAATAATTCTAGACTTTCTAATATTGTTTTACTTAATGATGTATTTGTTTCATCATTATCATTATCATCATCATCATCGTTTTTCAATGCAGAAATTATAATGAAATGAGAAGGAGAACATGATGAACTAATGTTGTTGTTGTTGTTGTTACTGTTGTTCTCTTGATCATTATCTAATGATGATTGATGAAATTGATGTGTTGGAGAAAAATTGGATGAATTGGACATTTTAATTGGTAAATAATCAACTAGAGATTCAATTAGATTGTTCCATGTATTAGCAAGATCAGTAAACTAAGAAAAATAATTTTTGAGAAAATAAAACTAAGAAAGGAATTTTACACATACTGAAACAATATTAATAATGAAAAATAAAAGTTATTTTCAACCAAACTATTATGATGAAAATTATTTTACAGTTTAATTTATGATTATTTAAACACAATGACTGAAACGAAGGGACACCCAAATATTTATGCGCTACACAAATCAATGAATTTGTATGTAGGCTGGTATTCTGATCGGATGCCCGACCCGACACAGGAACTGTGATATACTAATTGGAAAGATTCACAATAACTGGGTTAATGAACCTGAGCTTCACTATGTTGACTAACACAGGTTACAAAAAAACCTAAGTTGCAGTCAGATTAAGGAGTCGTCGTATGTTGAAATGAACATAATCCGAAAGTGCGCATTTTCTAATTGAAGTCGTTAAGATGAGTTGAGTCAATGACTGGGAACCTTGAAAGGGATTGTTCGAAATCCGTTACAATGATTGGTTTATTTATTTTATTTATTCGCAGCACAGAGTTGCTTCACACTCTCATTCCTAGATCTTGTTTGTTGTGAACGAACTACATTATCTATGTTTAGATTTGTATTAGCACTGATTTGAGTCTCAAAAGTTTATGTTAATAAAATTACAAAAAATTTCCATGCAAATTAAAAACACACATTACGAATAAATACACACTTTCTGACATTAGTTTTATGTTATGCAGCCACAATTCTCAGTATATCCCAATTAGAATAACTACATTTTCCATGGCAGTCTGATCCCTGTTTTGTTACAAGAACAATAAACAGAAAACAATGTCTTCTCAGCTTGTAACGATACCGAAATCATTTATAATTTATTAAAAATCATTTGATTTATAAGAACTACTTTGTTACGGATACGAAACTTGTTTGAAGTTGTGTACAACCATCAAATGACTTCAGCATAACTCAAATAACCTTTACAACCCGCATAGGTATGACTCATCTTTTTTTGTTTATCTAAGTATTTCCGATCTGTATTTTACAAAAATTCCACCATAAAAAACAAACTAGTACAGCTCAAAAGTTTGAGATAAGCTTATTCTAAATTGATGAGATTTTCGATCCGATACAAGCACGTGTTGCATACGTTTAATGATACCTAATAGTGATTCATCAGGGTGGTCGTACTGTTTATAAGGTTCTAAAATGATAGAAACAAAATATGTGATTGTTGAATGTACTTGTATGAAGGAAGTGACCGATATCCCAAAACTACATCTTAGGATGACGTGATATGTAATAGCCATCAGTGAGTTGATGAGATATTCAAAAGGGAGTATCCTAGTTGCTTATATACACCACAGTTAACAGACCCACTGTGATTAGTGTTTCTTTAATTGGTTTACCATTCATGGAAACTTCATTTTGAAGAACCCTGATTTAAAACCAACGGTGCATATGGGCTCCCGGACCCCGAAGGAACTAGTCGCATATAAACTTATTGTTGGTCACTGGCTACCACAGGAACGTACCGCTGATCCAATGCTTTGTGGATCAGACCATTAAATCAAAGATTCGAGCAGTGACTACCTAAGAATACCACCTGCTTCAGTTTGGGTACCTAGGTAGTAACCCAGCTCCACACGCAAACTAAATTATTTGTGCGGCGCATATATATATATATATAATATTGGTGATCCATTGTACCGACAAATAGGTTTTGAAATAAATTAATTAAATTGGTTGCATTGAAAATCTACTAGACGACTAATTTCTTTCTCCCTATTTTGAACATCTTGCTGTTTGTTATTTGTGTATTTTGTTTAATTATTAACTTTGAGTTAATTCCAATATTTCTTGTAATTTCCGTGTATGTAACTCATGATTTCTAAACTTCGTGATATCGATAATGGATTCGTTACAAACAGAAACTGTGATTTACTGGTCTAAGGATTGGATACCTACATATCGATATTTCGCCAATCAGATAGTATCGTTTGTAGTCAAATAAAAAGTTTAACCCATAGACTAGTACACTAACCTGTGTGTGATTAGTGATCTGGATTATTTTACTTTTGGGCTAACGAAGGAAGTTTTGAATAAAAACATGCAAGAAAGTATACTTATTTTAAGGCTGTCTTAAAATTCGAACGGTTTTACAGAGATAAATCAATTATTAATTAAAACGTGATTAGAAATAATTGATTGGGAAAGCTTTTGATAGTTTTTCACCAAAGTGAATACTTAATAAATATACTCACTAAAAAGGAGTTAAATGAGAGAAACGTTTGTTAGACACATTAACTTAAGTTTGATTTGACAGTGTACACTAATTTCAATAGCAAGTTTTTCCAGAAACTGTATTTCAACTAGAAATCTTATGTTTAATATTAATTATATTGGTTATAATTGCACTACTTAACGGCGATTCGAACAAACACGTTTTTACCATCTTGAACTAAACGGCTGAAATGAATGATGTCCATCTCTTAAAAGTGAACATATACAATGTGATTTTAAATAATACTTCAACTGGGTGGTCGCATATAACTTTTAGTCTCTATACGCATATTCCGTCAACTTAGAATGTTACATTAATTATCGAGAAAATCTTAACTACTCGCAAAGCAGAAACAATAAAAATTCCACCATAAATAAACAAAATTACATTCAAAAGATATCTATATTTACCTCGTAATATTGTTTTTCAACATCATCAATCAAAAATGTAACACGTACTCGTTTCATATATTCACGCCAATACCGTCTTAATTCGGTACGAGCTTCAGTCAACCTAATAAGTATACGATCAAATGTAATGATATGAAAGACATAATCAACTGGCAAGTCATATGCATCACTTGTATGAGACCATGTTCCTGTTGTTGGTGGTGTATCACATTTTGTTGTAGTATCTTCTTCCTGTATAGTTGTACATGAATGATTCGAATTTTTCTTAAGTAAATTTTCACGCATTTTCAAACCTTTTACTTCACAATCAGAAACACAGTGTAACCAATGATGACATCTTTTACGTAATTCAAGCATGTTTTCACAATTATAAAATTGGTTTATATGACAAGTTCTTGATTTTTGATCGCAGTAATAATTCTGTCGTTGATGATAGCCTTGACCAGTGCACTCATTCATGATGGTTTTCAATTCGGAGTATAAATTTTCAACTTCTTTAAAATATTCTTCAATATCCTTTAGTTCGAAGAAGGGTAAAGATAAGGAATAGTCGTTACACATTATTTATGATTACTAGAAGTATGTACAAGGGCAAAATGATCACATAGAAAAAGTAATTCTTCTTCAAACAAAGCTATGTAAAGGGTAAATAAGAAGCGAAAAAGACTGCGGTAGCTGTATGCATTAGATTAGTCAGTAATGGTATTAAATCAAATCATACATCAAACAATACATGCAAGGTAAAGATTACAAATCCATTTGGTTAAGCTTCAGAAGTGATTAGAGTGATTATGCACATTATTTAGGGTATATTTTAGCGTTCAATATTAGTTACAATGATAACCAGATAAAATAGTCAATAAAAATCAAAGAAATTAATGACAAACAATAAGTGAATAATCTGCATATAAAATGAGGCCACTATTCTATTATGTTTTGTTCTTTTGTTTTGCGATTATACACATTAAAGCAAAAAAAATCAGTTCTTGGTTAGATCAGCCAATCATTGGTGAGTTTACTTCTACTAACTATAAAATATCATTGGATTATTAAGAAATCTTATGAATAATTAGAAATATAAGCATAATATTCGTGTGTGTTTATGTCTAAGTGTTATCTTTTTTATAAAATGAGTGTACAGTGAGAAAATATGGTGGATTAGTTATCTGTGCCCATATACATCAAACCAATTAGAAACGTAAATGAATGAAGTTTGGTTGATATACATGTATATGATACGTACTTGCAAAAACTGAAGACAGAAATCTTTTCGAGTAGTATAATACAAGATATGTTGTCGAACCTGGTGAAAAATTTATGGGGAAATAAGCAATAACTCCTCAGTAGTGGTGAGTAAAAATGGCACAAAAAACATGATATAAGTTAAACAGGAGTTGGATGTTAGAAAATAGTTCGAAGACCCATTATTGCACAACCAAATCCACAAGATAGAATCCTAACCAACTTTCATGCTCTGTAAGAAAATGGTCCCAATTACTGGCTTAGATTTCTGCGACTGATATGGCTAGTTTGAATTCACACATACTATAGTAAAACTACTTTGTGTTATGCTCATTATTGACTTTACATATCATTCACTTACAGCTAGTTATTAGGACATCTTGGAATGACAAGTACCGGTGACTGCTACTCACCTGGAACACTGACATTCAGTCAGTTAGTTATAACGTAGAACCCAACAGCCACAAACTTACCGTTATACTTTTAATCCACATCCACAAACGCTTCAACACTATTAAATAAAGCAGTTGACCAGCTTATTGTTATTTACAGAATCAATAATAAACACTCGCTCTAAGTAACCCTGGACCAATATAATAGGGGATCGTAAAAGTTCGCAACGAACGAAGTGATAACATTGTGAAGAAAGAGGAGGGGAGAGTTGTACAATCAATAAACAAGAATAATATTTAGTGAAGGATTCCTTTCGAACTAAGGAGTTCATTTCAATGGAATGAAGAATATGATAGGAAATTATGGTGGAATAGCCACTGGTTTCTAATCTGTGATATATACGATAACTTTGCAAACCACTAAGTTGTACCATCTCTAGGATCCCAATTAAAGAAACGTGATATACTAACAGATCCCAGTCATACACAGCTTCCTTTTATAACATTGCCATGTTACAAACTGATTACTTCTCCACTTTCTTCACCAAGTGCCAGTTATTAGGCTGCTGGGATGATGTTTATAAAACATGATCAAAGCACCAAAACTGTTGTTTTAAAATGACAATACCCACTAAAATATCATACGAAGTTTTGGCTTAACTATCATATTTGGAACTCCATTACAAACCGACAACGAAGAGCAATAAAGTTTTAAAGTCTTACTATTCCGTTTAGCTACATAATCTTTCGTAACTCTAACTTATTTAGTCACACTGTTGATATCTACTACTGAGTACAAAATCGGACTTTTATTGGTTTGGCGAAAAAAAACCTGTGCAATCCCATACTGAATTGTTTTGCCATTAAAATCTAACAATAAATACCTGATAGAAACCTAATAAAACAACCACCAGGAGTCTTGATATGAAGCCAAACAAGAACCAAAATTATTTGAGGTCAAATATCAGCCGGCTAGATTTACTAAGAGGAAACCATATAGATTGCATAGTCTGAGTTCATAAAAACCTTATTAGTGAATACAAATAAGAACTGTTCGAAGAGAAAAACAATTCACTTCTTGATGTAGGTATGAGTATTAAGCAAACTCTAGAGAAGCTAGTTTTTTAAATATGACTTTAAACAGCTTTTTCTGTAAATTAAATTCCATAAGTTTGTTTTATCTGAATTATTCGACTGTGTAAAACTTATAATACTTTACCGAAATGTGTTAATCCATTAGTATGACTTCTGATTCATATAGCTGTACAAATAGTGTCTGATTATGGTGATAAACTGAAAGTCTAAATAAACACCGGAGAAGTTTAATAACTAGTATATCTTACACGAACGTCGTCAAAAGTGACGATATTCTCTTCTGACGCAATACAATAGGAATGAATCAAGATAAGGGAACCCCATTTGGAGCAAAAATTACCATTACATTACTCAACTACAAAACACATAAACCTTGTATGAAATAATACGATAAGGACATAGCAATGAATCTACGCATTTTGAGTTGAATATAAAATAATACTTACTATCCTGTTCGTAAGCCAATCGTCGATGTCAAAGTGAAGTTCACCGCCTAAGTCGTTCGTCAAATGCTGCTGATCTATGTACGGAAGCAGATCTTCAGCTTTGTCAACGAATATTAATGGGATTTTACAACTATCACGTATTGAATTTACTGTTTTCTCCAAGAAAAAATTCTGCATAAAACCTTGAGGTTTGATAACGAATATTTGATGTAAGTTCCCTGGAAACTTCTCCTAAACATCTAGGTAAGAAAATCCGAATATTAACTAACATTTAGTTTGGCAACAATCGATTTGACAACTGCCCAATTACTAGTACGCCTATCAATAACAACAGTAATTTCTTGAACACATGTTAGCATTCTGCTTTTTCGAATAATTTCAAGAAACAACTTACGTTGATAATGAGGAAAAGTACTGCATTAGAAAAATATACGAGTCATCACTTAATCCATCTAAACCACGGTCTTGAAAAATTATCAGGGAGCGGAATTCCTTATCATGGCCACCTGTGATTGAAGAATAAACTCAAAATATGATCTTACCTGTGAATATAGCATACCTCTTTAGAAGCAGGTCCTTCAAATCTTTAGCTAAAATCGAGTGTCCGTTATTTGAAAATGACTGATTGTCTATCATCTTAGTATTTTCCTCCAGCTCGAAATATTCCTAGGCCCCATCAGACTTCTGTAAATTTATTACCAGATAGATAATTAAGTGTGTGGATGAAGAAACGCAAGAGTCAAAGATTAGGGTTCGAAGATATAATCCAGTGAAATAAACTTAAAAACAGAAAGATAAAGGTGATGAGGAATTCGGAGGACTGAGATTTCGAGAGAGCGAAAGAATGGACGTATCTGCGCCATTGCAAACGATTTTCAACCACGCCATTTAAAGGTCTCTAACCATCGGTAACGATCATCTCGTGGACCCCAAACTAGTAGTCTATACCTACCAACATAACTCAGTTCAGTTGGCAGTGACTTCCTGGATTTGAGCTAAGTTTTGGTGTGGTACATCCTACTCCTACACCACAAAACACTGATCATCGAGGCAGTCGGTGGTTGGGCATTCGTAACATATGTCGCAACCACCTCAACCGACGATGATTCACTACTTCGATAGCTGATCTGCCATCCTTACCCAGAACCCGGAATTATGTAATTTTATGCACTGAATGTACTGTTATTGTATTTACTATCAACTTGGAAACACTGCCTTTCCAAACACGTTACTGTCAATAGGTCGGGAGATACTGTTATGAGCAATTAAATAGTATCGTTTCAGGGAAAAGTCAGTCAAATGGAAAACCTAATAAATTCATCAACTTGTAAAACCTAATTGATAAAGGTTGAGATAACCTAATTGTATTTATGGCTCTTACCATCAATCCAAATATGATCATCTTTGGATGTCTCCAGTTTATAGTAAAAGAAAAATTAGCAAACAGAAATAACTATCTCTAACGCTTAAGAAGTTAAAGCTCAAAACACGTGTTTATTTGAGTAACGATAGAAATATATATATAAAGGTATACTGTATTACTCCATAATTTGAAAATTTTGCAGAAAGCAACGTTCTGTATCAAAGATAGCGCCTCAAATATCCAATAGATTTTCTCAAGCTGACCTAAGCCAATGGATTTCTTTGATTTCGAATATTGTTCCTTCGCTACAGTTACAGGTATTTAGGAGTGTTCATTGTACGTTAGCCTAGCCCCTCGACTGCACTAGTCAAATGGAAGTTGTTTATGAATTTGTCTATCCCATGATTGAGTGCGTTTGTTTCAAGGCAGTAGAGTTTCCAGATACCAGTAGCTTTCACAGTCTTACCAAGCAGCGTTGCAGTAACTCTTCATTGACCTTTGTGTGTTTGTGTTTGCGAGTGACTGAGTATCTTTATGTCACCAAAGTACCGCACAATGGTTCCGGCTTGGAATGAATACGCTTGTCTGGATTGTTACTCCACCAATGAATAGAGAAAAAGTTCATGTCTTCGGAAATGTTTAAATATCCCGATACGGTGTCGGAAACTGGAATTATTCCCATAAACGGTGTGATTTCATCGAGAACGCGTCAACTTCGAAGCGCGTGCATTGACACTGTCTCAAAGTCCCAAAATACGAAATGAGAGAAGTCGGTTAGCTGATTCATGTAAACTCATTTTAGGTTTTCAGGTTTATTGTACACGATTTTTTAGGTTGAAATAGTATTGTATGATAAATTCTCACGAATAATATGATACTTTTAAACAATTCAAACGATGATGGACGGATAAAAAAGTATTCGCCTCCTTATATAGCGGTAGTGGATCACTGAGCAAATGAAAGGGAAATATTGTTCCGTTATAATATATATATATATATATATAATCCTTGAGGTTATATCTGGTTTCTTCTAGAAGGTCTTCAGGAATGTAACTTGATCCTCCTAAACGAGTAACGAATTTCACCGTCGGACTACTCCCGAAGAGTACCATGAATGCCTATGGTGTATTTTTCTGTTGTGCGTCCATTTTCTAGGTACTTCCTTTAATTTAAAACAATTAGTCCCCTTGCAATCAAGGGTTATAGAACATGTAACTAAGTGGCTTCAAAATCAGTTAATCTCAGATGAGCCGATTAGCGTTGGGAATAGAAAACCATGTTCATCTATCGCAAAACACATAATTGAGACAGGGCGTAAGATTGACATCAAGACAGCCTTCAAAACATTGTATAGAAATGTTGAAGGACGAATTTTGAGGTTTATGGAGGCCTTGGTTATTAGAAAATTAAAACTCCCCTTATGTGTACAGAAACAATTTGTTATAACCTTGAATTTATCCTGGTAATCTTTAAGCCTAGGGTAATATGACAATTTTCCTACCCCTTCTTATTCTTTTCATATTACGTTAATTTTCTCTCTCCTTTATTTACAATTATCACCCTATGTCTATTTGAACTTTTATTTACTTGACCTTTTATTCATCTGCATATAAAATGCCTTGAAAAGCAAATATGTGTGACCAGATTGTTCGAAATGTATAGCGCAAATACATCACATTTTACAGATCAATTACGTCTTCTCACTGTTCTACTTTCTCTAAGTTTTGTGTTAGAAATTAGCTTGATAAGCTATTTTAGGCGATGCTCAAGAAAGTTTTAAGGTCATATCTACGATACGTTTACTCTACCGGGTAAAGGTCGAGTGACTAGATTCGCTATTCATCAAATTTATAGCTGAGCACTCGAACTGATTACGTGGCTCGCCGTCGGATAGATACCCGTGTAATATTGTCCTTTTGGAGTGAGTGAGGCCGGATAAAGCTCTCAAAGGGTAGATAGAACGTTTTACAATCAATCTTTCTTAAAAAGCGCTTCAGCTTTACTTGTGCAAGTTTCGCGTAAGACTTTTGATCTTAGAACATCTAGAGAGTTTTCACCGTCACCTGGCGAATAGAAGAACACTACTGTTAGCGGTGCCGCCAGGATTGAAGTTGCTTCATTCATTATAACGGGGCGAACAACGAACAAGTCTTTCGAACGGGAAAACAAGCATTACAGTATTTTTATCAGATAGTGAAGCCAGTCTTCTCTTAACGCCCTTGCGCCCTAGTTTTTACCAGTTCTTTCTTTCGTTACCAGTATGTTTACAATTTGCCTAGTAATATCTCTCAAGTTCCAGCACTCACAGATAACGATAACTTATGGCTGGGTTCCTGTAACTTTTGCGGAGCGTTTCTGGAGCAAACTGGTACGAAATGTCAATGAGCGTTTGCACCAAGTTGAGGGTGGTACTCTTAGTCAACCTGCTTAAGACTGGCACATCATACCGTTTAAAGTTTAATCGCTTGTTGTTGGAAGGATGCCTTAGTTCAGTATTGGCAGGTAAATTGAAGTCTGAGACTGCTTGATCGTTTTTTCTCAAGAGAGGCAGGAATGACAAGTTATTACAAGCTAATCTAAGCTATTATAATGGAAAGGAGTTCATTTGTGATTTCTTAAGCAATGGCGGTAGATCTGTAGATCTATATAATTTTCAACAATTTAGTCATAATAAAAATGGGTCTTTTGAATCCTCTCTCTATATACAATCATTTTCTTATCAGTGACTTGTCTTCAATAACCTACATAAATGCAGGTGTGAAGTAAGTGAGCTAATACTGGAAAAGAAATATCTGAGAGATAAAACCTTTGTTTTATTCAGAAAGTAACTGTTGAGTCATGACTCAGGTGTAAACATGAATATATACTATTTTGTTACTCGCCCCTTTCTCCTTCTTTCTGTTCTACATATTTCATCCAACAAATTAAATTATAGCCTTAATATTCCCAGGGGATTAGAGTGCTATCAAGAGAATCATTGTTATATACAGTCCGGAATTGAACTTGTATTGATTCGCAACTACCAGTCGTGTAAAGTGACGTGCCCCATGTAACACATTTTTAACTGGGAACAGATTATTATTGTCCAGGAACTCCTTATTCGTGAATATGCGATTCAAACATAGTGTGTGATTGATGAAGAGTTTGGGGAGATTAAAGTCTCCTTAAATTGGATTATAAGTCTGTTCAAGATAAGTAGTGCAGTATAATCCTTCCAGCATGCAATGATCCTACTTCGTGTTAGCTGTAGATTTTCTGTAGATGACTCCGACTAGACATCTGAAGTGTTAGATAATTTCACTGAGTACCATACCTGTTAATGAAGACCAGCTCTTGGGTGTTCACCAGATATGCTAAATAGCTGGATCATAGATAGACAGCATCCTCACCTACCAGTATGGTTTTCTTATTAAAACGAAACAAAGATATTTTGGCTAATACCGTGTCTCAGATATTCCTGCTAGACGAGTGCTATTCGGGAAGCCTGAAGAGTTCGTATATAGGCATTCAACTCTTCTGATTAGAAATGCATTGGTATTATGTTCATGTTTGTCCGGACGGGTCTTAATTGGATTGTTAAGCAAGCAACCTACACAAAACTTTTCATTTGGGTGCTCCCTGTCTCCCTCCTGGATTTTCCTTTTAGTTGATAATTTACAAGTAGAAAGGTTAGCACCAATTTGCTTCTGTGCTCAGTTCTTGAATCTTGTGGTCAGTTCGAAAGCATTTGGACCTGTGAAAGATGCAAATCACAACTAAATCGGATGAAATGAAACTTTTTAAGAACGGTGATTCACAGTATCTCACAAGCTCACGAAATTGAAATAGTAATTATCCATATATCTTCAGAAGTATTAAAAAGACATCAGTGCATGCAAAATGCCATTATTTATAGCATAGCATAAATACACTCTCGTAAAAGAGTGTGGATTATTCCACTCTTGATGAGTAGCACGCAGCCCACGTAAAGTTCAGCCAAAAGTTTGCTGCCCCATTTTTCTTCACTACTCAAACATATTCCATTATTTAAGAAGACTAGAATTGTTTGTGACAGAACTACAATACAACGCCGAATCAACGGTGGCCTCCCAGATATGCAGACCAATTCGTGAATTGATAACGGTTGCAATCACGACCGTCACATTACCTATGCTATGACTACCTCTACCCATCCCGAAACCAAGAACAGACCCAATGAGACTACTAGTCTTAAGATCTGTCCCATAAATAAAGGAGTTGCAACTTGTACCAAGTTCAAACGCCCATCTACCTGTAAACCACAAGTCAGTTGCTCATAAATCAACAGAGCATAGCTATCAAACCTATACTCCTGCCTCCACTCCTTCTCCAAATTACACAACAGGCCGGCCACCAGATGCCC